AACCAAATTAAAAAAAAATAACTTCCTTTTACAGTCATACTAAGCATGTTTAGCTATTTTAAAATTAGGATACAAAAAAATGATGATCCCTTTCACTTATAATAATTGTACTCGTGAAGGGCTATCAGAGTGAACACACACACCCTCTTTGATGTTGTAAAAGGCAGAGATAAATATCCTGCTTGCTGTGCCCCCTTGTGGTCCTCCTGCATACTGCTGATGACTGAACACTAGGATATGAAGTCATATCCCAGCTCCCTGCCATGGATATGATACAGGGAACAAGGGAATGTAGTAAGGAAGATCTATGCCTGTGGATGCACAGATGTCTGGGCTCTTGCCATTAAATAAAGGAAAAAAATTTACAGGGGAGGGCTTGCAACTTTTGGCATGTGGGGGTAAACGTGAAGAAGAATGGCCCATTTGTACAGTAAACTCACAAAGATCTGTGTGGATTGTCCTGCTCACGCTGCAGAGGTGGGGGCAGTCCTAAAGTGTAATCCCTAGAACTGCCTTTAGAATTACTTGTAGAGCAAAAGATGGAGCAGTCACAAAATCTATGCATGCTTAAGCAGACTGTGATTCCCTTCGTTCAATTGATATCAATGTCTCATCACACTTCAAAGCAGAGCAGGATTAACCATTGTCACGTCTTGTTCTGTTCTGCGCAGATGTCTGGCCTTGGCTTCTGGTATCCAGTACTCTTTTTACAATTCTTGTTTAGTTTTTCTTGTTTTCTATTCTATGTCTGATTTCCTTTATTTTAGTTTTATGGGTTCATTCCTTTATTCCATTCCTGGAATTTCCAGTCTCCTGGATTCTTTTAAATGTTTGTTTTTTTGTTGCCACACCCTTTCCTTTGCCATTAAATCATTTTTGTTTCAGTAGGTTCCTGCAAGCAGTGGTCTCATTTACTCTGCTCCTTGTGTTTTATTGTTGTTTATTTAGTCATGCATATCTAGGCAGTTAGGACCCACCGTAATTTGAGTACTTTGGCGCAGTGGTGGGCTGCATGCATCTTGGCCATTTATGTATGTCTAACTCTCCAATGTTTATTACATATATAGGAGTTATGTCTCCTCTTGTTTTGCCTTGTATCTCTTGTCACGTTATATTTTGTCTTGTATTCCCAGTTCATGTCCTGCCCTGCCCTGTCCATGTCTTGTTTATGTTTCCCTCATGTATTGTGTACATGTTCTGGGTTCTGCTTTCTGTTCTTCTCTGGCTCTGGGTTCTTCTAGTCTTGTCTTGCTATCTTGTTTGGTGCCTATTCTAGTCTTACCTTGCTCCTAGTACTGGATACGTATCTGCTTAATATCAGCTCCTGGCTTCCGCTTGAGCCGCATCAGGGCCCTGGTATATGGCCGCACAAACCCTGGTGCTGCACCAGACCCTGATAGTCCTTTTCCACGCTGAGATGTCATGTACATCAGGCACACAGAGGTCCTGGTCTTCAGACCGCCACCCATGACAACCATAAAGTGACATAAGGTGGCCGCCTAGGGCCCAGGGCTTAAACCAGAGCCTTGGAATCATGAATCTGCTAGGCCCCATTCACCATCTAACATGGCTATGGCCATATCAGGTATTAATTCTTCTCTGCCCCAAAGCCACTTCCAAAGGCATCCACATCATACATATTCATCAAAGTTTGGCAGCCAGTTGGCCCTCAAATATTGCATTCCAGGAGAGTATTGAGGTTGTAGGCCATCAGCCCCTTGCACAATTCCTGCCTGCTACCCGACTCCTGCTGTTCTCTGCCGACAGACATCCCAACGCACCACCAGTTGCTTTTAATCAACAGAATAGTATTGTTAGAATGCATCTGAAAAAAACTGCATACCAGTGGCCTGTGGGGCAGTTGCATGCATCCAAACTCGAGGAGACATCACTTGCGATGCCCATATTGAGTAGGTACACCTGCAAAAGGGCCATGTCAACCTGACTTGAAGTACATTAGCATTGAGAAAGGGCTGCTGCTCAAAACATTTGCAGTTTTAACTTTGTCCTCAAATAAATTGTGGTAGCACCTGTGTGTACACAACTATACTGGATGCGCAGGACTCGTGTTTGGTTTTTGGTTGACTTGAAGTATGTAACACTGACCAAGTGCTTCCTAGCTGCCCCCTCCATAAAGGACCATTTACAAAGTGCAGCTGAAGCTCTGTCTGCCAGGATCTAATGATGCCTTGTGTTGTCTGAGGTACAGTACTGCATGCAGAAACACCATTTAACAAAGTTGGGACAGTGGGGCCAGACCCCAAAATAAATGTATATCATACTTCCCAACTGTCCTGCTTTCGACAGGACAGTCCTGATTTTGGGGTGCTGTCCCGTCGTCCTGCTTTAGTTCCCTGGTATACCAAATATGGGGACACCAGGGAAAGGTCCCTGGGCAGCACAGCAGAATCGCATCATTAGATGCACTCGCTGTGCAGCCGGCACTAGGACCATGCAGGGAGTGCTTTAGCACCTTATTTCACGCTGGTCCACCTCTTTTTTTGGATAAAACTGCCCATTGTGGGACTCTCTAGTGTCACTGGCAACGACCCCTCAGGACTTCACCCACACATCCAGATTGGTGAAAGGGAGAAGTTGGTAGTTATGAGATGGAGATAGCTCTATCAGGACAGTGTGAAAGTATTCCTATTCCAGGTACACAAGGAGCCTCATTCAAACAATGCCTAAGAAATCTTCTGTACATATATTATTTTCATTATTTTACGTTAAGAAACAATTTTTAAAAATGAATTAAAAATTATTTTCAAATTTTCATTACTAACCTAACCGTATTACTAAAACATGTCTGCATCAACTCCGTGCACAGACTAGATAATAAGTTCAAGTGAAACCGTTTCAAATTTTATTAACATCTATATGCCTCAGAATTGCAAACAGGAAGTGTAAACACACCACACAAAAGAGTTAAAAGAGCCTTGTTCGCTGCTGCTTACATTCTAGAGACAATTCCTTATTATGGCCTAGTTATTTAAATCAGACCAGGCTAGAGTGAATCAATGGCCCCTTGTCCATTTCTCGAGCCAGCTCTGCATTGATGACAAGTGGAATGAGAACTCTGTTGTGAGCAATAAACAATGCTGTTCTGGAGCGGCTTCTGTTTGTGTTGAAATCTGTCGCAAGCGAATTGGCATGAGAATAAATGCTGAGTTAAAAAGCTTTCCTGCAATTGCTTGGCTGGAAAGACTATAATTTGTGTTCTGTCAATATTTCCAGGAAGCAGATTGTCAGACACTGTTCATAAAACAGTGTGAGCTGCAGATCCGGTTGGTGGGGGAAAATATCCCTCAATAAAAAAAAATAATAAAAATAGCAATTCTCTTCTCTGTTATGATAAAAGAGCTGTAGATCCCTTCTGTCTGTGAAACCAACATTGGGAGGAACTATTTCTATGTTCTTAATATCCTTTTGGGTTTGGGTGATTGTCACGGGGCGTGCGTGCGTGCGTGCGTGCGTGCGTGCGGAGGGGCAGTGACGAGACACAGACTAGATGGCTTATTATTGATCTGTTTAGTCTAGTATTGCTCTTATTCTATGTCTAGTGTATCTGTGTAACTTCTCATGGGTTTCATCTTCTATTTAATGAATAGTATTTTTTTACAGTGTTCCCCAAACTGCTGCAAAGCAAGCCTAGCAACATACTTTAAAGCATATTACACCTTTAAGTTAGCTATACAACGTGTTTCTTTTGCTTTAAAAACTTTCTCCTGAAAAACAACCAGTACAGTAAAATGGTCGCAATATTTTTGTGTTTCTACCAGACTAAGACTGGATTAGATTAAGTGTGTCACCATAAGTCTCATGTCATGCAGGTTGGGGCTAGTCCTGAGTGTAAATAAAGCCTTGTGTGTTAGTTCCTCTTTGGAACTGTGTATCCTGTCTGGTTTGTTCAGGGAATCCAGTAGCAGATTTGTTGGACAGACATGCTTGCCTGCTGCCCTGCTGCCCTATTATCTGGTCCAGGGGACGAATCAAGAAAGAGCTCAGTTACAGTCACAAATGCCTTTGTAGAGGTAGTTTAAAGCAAGACAGGTAAAAGGGTCGATACATGGCTGGGAGACAGAGTTGTCTGCAGAAGAATTGATACTTGCCTGGGTGATGGAGGTGCTGGCAGAGTGATTGATACCTGCCTGGGAGACCAAGCCCTACTGGAGGCCATCCCAGCTGGGGTTGCTGTAGTTGCTGGCTTGACCGGTCTCGTTAACGGTCTTCACTGGTAGATCCACATCCCCACAACTATTATAAATTAATTTATTTTTTTTAAATTCTTTATTTTGGATGTACACGAAATGAACAAATCGCCGGTGTGCGCCACAACAGCGACATCCGGTAGAATAGTTAAACATCGGTATTACATGTCATGGCATTCGGTATACAGGCACATTTTTATAGTATTAATATGATCTCTAGTACAGTTGTTTAGGTTCACTTTTGTTTTTAACTATGTTAACATAATGCAAAAGACATGGAGCAATAGGTAGAGGAGAGACAAAAGAGGGAAGCATGGCTTGTGCAGAGAATGTGCATATAAGATTATTCTGATATGTGCCTGCTAGGCTGTGAGATGTGGTGGTGTTACATTACATTTGTCTGCCTATGTGGTGATGTATTAGTCGCTTTTTACGCTAGCTTTGAGGTGTGAGTAGCTGAGAGATATAAGACATAACATACAAGCAGCGCCAACATTAAGATTATACTTCGCTGCTTAATTATTACTTAGTCTAAGCATGAGCATTAACTGTTTCGTCAAATTTAACTGTCCAAGGGACCGTCAGGAGCGGGTTTCATCAGTGTTAATATTATTACCGCCAGTCCATGAGAAAGTATGAGCATAGTCCGGTCGGGGCTTGTAGTATGCTTCAGGGTCCGGGTATTCAGCTGGATTGTGTACTCTGGACAGACCAGGGTATAATCACCCTTGTGAAGCAGTATGATAGGCGCTTCAGCCTATGCCCAGCGTTGGCAGGACCCTTGGGCTGTTGTTATGAGTAACTTATAGTGGAGTCAGCTTCAGGGCGTCTCTTTGTGGTGTGCTGTTTCACAGTCGCTCGTACCGCAGTATTGGTTGGGGAGAGGCGCTTGGTGCTGTGCCGGTAGCCAGGAATAAGGTCAGGTGCTTTAGTAGCGTGCGTCGCTGGAGTTAGGGTCCCAGTTTTGCTTATGCGCGGGTGAGAGCGTGTGTCCGAGAGGCCTGGTGCCGTATCCTGCCCCGAGGCCCTCCGGGGTCTATTTTGCCTGACGGCCATCTTGGTTGCTCGGGGTACCTGTGTGTAGTACCTGCGCCACGTTGCTGGTCGTATCCATGAGGCTACCATCCGGACAGCTTGGCGGTAGGTTGCTCCTCGGTTTTGTAGCACTACCCCGAGACCAGCGCAAATCCAGTTTAATATTGCCATAGGGGTCATGTGTGTCTTGGAGCAGGTGCTCCGCTTGGCTGGACCTCGCGGGTCCGTTGCCCCGTCATGTCTTGTGGCTGGTAAGCCCCTGCTCCATACTGGTCCGTGTGAGCAGTGGGGACCGGGATGTCCCCCACCAGTCCAGAGAGGGGTCGGCTGTTGTGTAGTCGCTTATGGGCTTTTGCACCGAGAAGAGCGGCCGACTCCCCTCTGCTTCAGCCCCAGTAGGCCGCATTTGAATCTCAGCTTTCCCGGCGTCGACAGGTCCCTGGTGGTATCGTTGTGCTCGGGGGGCACCCCCAACATAGGTAGTGCACCCTCCAATGTTAGTGGGCTTGTTAGCCGTCGCTTTTACCCAGGGTTTCGCTCACCGGGTCGGAGCTCGTGGCAGAGGCATCTGCACGGCTCCGTGGTCAGACTCCGCCCCCAAACTATTATAAATTTTGACAGGAAGAAGAGGTTGACGAGGACCATGCTCAAACAAGCTTGCAATATGAATTCTTTAGCCCAAAGAGTGCCCTAATTTTAATTTATTTGCTTGTTTTTATTAGAACAAGACAGCAGACCATTATTAAACATTCTTAATCAATTCATGAAATTTATGTAACACAACTTGCTGTTTATCTTATTTTATGTAAAGCTGTGTACTCATCACATTTTTTATTCCTGTGTAGCTCAATTCATAGATAACACACAGAACTTCGTGGTAGGAAAGAGGGACAGAGGGATTTAGGCCCCCAAGGAATATTTGAGAGGCACAATATTAAAGGACCACTCTAGGCACCCAGACCACTTCAGCTTAATGAAGTGGTCTGGGTGCCTGGTCCTTCTAGGGTTAACCCATTTTTTCATAAACATAGCAGTTTCAGAGAAACTGCTATGTTTATGAATGGGTTAAGCCTTCCCCTATTTCCTCTAGCCGCTGTCTCATTGACAGCCGCTAGAGGCTCTTGCGTGCTTCTCACTGTGATTTTCACATTGAGAGCACGCAAGCGTCCATAGGAAAGCATTATGAATGCTTTCCTATGTGACCGGCTGTATGCGCGCGCAGCCAGCCGACAGGGAGGAGAAGAGGAGGATCGGAGGAGGAAAGCTCTCTGCCCAGCGCTGGAAAAAGGTAAGTTTTAACCCCTTTACCCTTTCCAGAGCCGGGCGGGAGGGGGTTTTCCTGGCACTATAGTGGTCCTTTAACCAATTTCCCTTTCTATTATACTCCTATAGAGGGCCAATGCAAAACCTATGTATATTTGTTTAGGTACTTGTACAGAAAGATAGAAATGTATCCGAATGTATTGATGTTAGAAATAAAGAAACTGTCTTGGAAACTGGCTGGGAAACAGAAAGGTTTCTCAAAGGTGAAATTTGACAGACGTGTGTAAGAGTATGAAGCATCTTTACACTGCCATGACAACAAAGTGCTGGAGCTACTGCCTGCTGCTCTATGAGCTTTGCACTTCAACAGTGTTTTCCATAAAACATGATACATTAATGATGCATTAATGCAGAGAGGTTATGTGCTCTGGTAAGTAAGTATAAGACTACATGGACCTGTAGAGCAGCTCTAAGACTTTTCAATTGTACCCTCTGCTCTGATTCAGGGGGCAGTCTGATATGGCAGTAAAGGTGATGTTTTGGAGGCAGTATGTCAGATTAGCCATCTGTGTTTATGTATTGTAAGTCATTTCTTTGTATTATTATGGTAATGTCTCTCAAATTGGCTTTACAGTATAACACACAAAATATGCATTCGCAAAACACACAATAAAAACTTTAAAATGTTTAAGACACGGGGGGTGGAGCCTGACCGGGGAACGAAATGGCCGCTTAGAGGATAAGCCCCCGCTATCAGGCTCTATCAATAGCTACCTTGCCAGCTACGATCCGCGCACAGACCACCCAACGACCCTGCAGAAACGCCAAGACCCCCATGCTCACCCGCCGACATGGGAGGGAATCGCAAGAAGCGCAATTTGACACCATCAGTGGCCTCTCTGTTCCGGCCGCCACGAGGTCCAGCGCCATCTACCCCACGACGGCGGGAAGACTCAGCCTCCGAATCTGACCACAGTGAGGCAACAGCCCCGGCATCCACGCCACTCACAAAGAGATCTGCAGGTGCTATTGCGCGATGCTGCAGAAGATATAAAAGAACACATGGCTGCAGAGCTTGAAAAACAGCTTCACAGCCTCAAAGCAGAAATAGCTGATCTGGGGGACAGGACAGGGCAAGTGGAGCAGAGAGCAGACGAGCTCTTAGAAAAGCAGACCACCCAAGAAGCAGAAATCATTACTTTACAACACAGAGTAGAGGCACTGGAAAACGGCATGGAAGACCTCAACAATCGCTCCAGGCGCAACAACATACGGGTAAGGGGCCTCCCTGAAATGGTCACCCCCGACATGCTACCCTCCACGCTCCGCGACCACAAACGCCCAAACCTAGACGGAGACCCCCGCTCCCCAACTCGGCCTACACCCCATGGCACCAACCGGAAGGGCCATGAATGCACCCCCCACCCTGTGCACGAACCGTAACCCACGCATGCCAAAGCGGGAAGCACTATAGGGCCACCCCGCACAATGTCCCACAGGATACGGGACGAGAGTCACCAGACCCTCCCAAGACGGATGAACCCACACACCCCACTCCACTACGCCTGGCACGAACCCTAAGACCAGGCAGTTATCGTTTTTGTTCTTTTCATTTTTTCTCTGTTCCACATTGGTACAATTCGGTCTCAACAGGGGGGGAAAAGAGGTTGGAATCCCTAACCGTGAACATGGCGAGCAATATAGGGCAGGGGGGAGAGCCCCCCAAATCCCAGACCCAACAGAACACACCCACTCACATAAACATGACATCTAGTCTGACATGCACTTCCATAAATTGCACAGGGCTAAATAACCCCACAAAACGACACCAGCTTATGCGATGGGCCTACCGCACCAAGGCAGACATACTCATTCTACAGGAGACACATTACTGAGACTCACGCCCCTTCCCTCTCCTGAGCCGCCACTTTCAGACCTGCCACCTAGCCAACTCCAACTCAGGTAAACACAATGGAGTGGCGATCCTCCTAAGGAAAACATGCCCCCTCCAGATCACCTCCACACACAAAGACCCTAATGGACACTTCCTCACGGTAACAGGGACGATAGGCCCGTCCAAATACGCCATCACGTCCATCTACGCCCCCACAACACCAGACCCAGGATTCTGGCTCACCCTGCAAGCCCATCTAGGCCTACACCCACACCACCACCAAATCATAGGCGGTGACTTCAACGCCGCGATTTCCCCAACAATAGACAGACTAAAACAGCCACCCAGGCCAACCGCAAATACCCAACCGTCCAGATCAGACAAACTCATGGCAGACTTCATTTCTAAAACCAAACTGATTGATATATGGAGACTACAACATCCAACAACACAGGACTATACCTTATACTCACATCCACACGGCACCTATTCCCGCCTAGACTACCTCCTAATCTCCCCATCTCTACTCCCACTCACGATGACGACATCCCTAGGCAATATTACATGGTCCGACCAAGCCGACATATCCTTGACGTTCCAACCACCGCACATGTACAAACCCTGGTCATGGAGGCTCAACCCAATCTTACTCCACGACCCACAAACAGTACAACAACTCAAAACCGAACTCAAACACTACTTCACAACAAACAAAGACTCAGTGCAATCTCAGGCGGTCCTATGGGCAGCCCACAAAACGGTGCTCAGGGGCTCCCTCATCAGCATAGCTACTACACAAAAAAAGACGCCTTGCACACACAGAAAAAACCCTGGCAACCATCAGAGACCTCAAATCTCAACACAAACGTACCCCCACCCTGGACCTCACCAAACAACTCCAACACCAAAGACAGGCACTCAAAAACGCAATGGCAGCGGATGCAACTAAAGCCCTACATTGGACAAAGCAAACATTTTATGAAAAATCCAACAAAGCTGACACACTCCTAGCACGTAGATTATGCAAGTGGATCCAAGCGAAACAAATAACACACATTCGCACACCATCAGGACATACAACAGATATGCCCAAACAAATCGCAGAGGCATTTAGGAAATGCTTCTCTGCTTTATATGACCATACCCCCCAACACAGACAAACAACCACCAACCTACCGGACCGCATCCACACCTTCCTCGAAAGGACGCAACTACCCACTCTACCTAATAGCGCGACCATACAACTCGCCACAGACATCACCGAACAGGAGGTGGCAACCGCAATAGGAACCACCAAACCCAACAAAAGCCCGGGCCCAGATGGATACTCGGGTATATACTACAAAGCATTCCAAGACACCCTCCTGCCCCACATGGTGCGACTATACAACTCCATCCTACAGGGACACCCACTCCCTAAAGAAATGTTACAGGCCAACATCTGCCTCCTACCAAAACCCAACAAACCTCTCTCGGACCCGGGCCACTACAGGCCTATATCCCTATTAAATGTAGATCTAAAAATATTTACAAAAATACTCACAAACAGGCTACTACCATTCATCACCACGCTGATCCACCCAGATCAGGTTGGCTTCATCCCCACTCGCCAAGCCAGTGACAATACAAGGAGAATGCTACACCTGATTTGAGTGGCCAACCAATGCTCTATCCTGACACTACTCCTATACCTAGACGCCCAGAAGGCATTTGACAGGCTACTCTGGCCATTCCTTTTCGCAACACTAGAGAAATTCGGTTTTCCCAAAGCTTTTCAAGACGCATTACGAACTATATACTCCAACCCCACTGCCAACCTTCTCATACCCAACACAAACCCACCCTCCTTCCCCATATACAACGGAATGAGGAAGGGCTGCCCACTATCCCCTATTCTATTCGCCCTCTCCCTCGAACCCTTACTGCACCTCATCCGCACCACACCTACAATCACCAGTATCACGGTCCGCGCACAAACCTACAAAGCAGCGGCGTATGCGGATGACCTCGTACTGTCACAGATCCGCTACACATGCTCCCACCACTCCTCCGGCTCTTGGACGACTACTCAGAAGTCTCGGGGTACTGGCTGAACCTTGATAAAACTGAAGCATTAACACTATATATGGAAGCAACTCAAAAAAACATACTACAAGACACGTACACCTTCCAATACAAAACCTCACACATCTCATACTTAGGAATAGCACTACCAGCGGACCTACACTGCACATACACTCTAAACTACACACCGATGATACAAAAAGGATGACCTTCTCGGCTGGGGGGACTTGTCTTGGTCGTGGCTGGGACGCCTAGCCTCGATAAAGATGAATCTACTACCATGCTTTCTCCAAACCCTCCCCATCCCAATACCCATCTCAGACTTTAAATACTTACAAAATACAAATCAACAAATTCATCTGGTTGAACAAACGACCCAGAGTGAAAAGGTCAACAATGTACATTCCCAACAGACTATGCGGCCTGGGCTTGCCCCATTTTCAACACTACTATCACGCGACCCAACTCATACAAAACTTACACTCCCCACCAGGAACCAAACGCTGGGTAGAATTGGAACACAATGTATTTGGCCACGTCTTCCCCTCCCTATACCTATGGGTCCCGCGGAAATATCGACCCACACCCCCACCCATACCCGAACACTCTCAAACTCAATACACACATGGGACAAACTAACCAGAAAATACTCTATCATTAACAGCCCAACACCACTGACCCCCATACTGCGCAACAAAGCCTTCAGCCCTGACATGAACCCCAAACATTTTATGCATTATGAATACAACGACCTTTATAGGCTCTACCACTTCTTTGCTGGAGGGAAACTACTCCAGCACAATGACCTACCCCAACAGCACTAACCGTACAACACACGTGACTTCTTTAGACACCTACAGCTAAAAAGCTTCCTAGAACTCCCAGAAAACACAACAGCGGCCACCACCAGACTCACAACCTTCAAACGAGCATGCATTAACAACCCAATCCGCAAGGGCCAAATCACAGATAACTACCTACTACTAATCACCGCCCTACCCCCGGGAGCAATGGCCTCTGTGGTGGCTTGGGAGAGGGACCTGAGCCCACTAGAGGACCTGACTGACTGGCAGGACATATGGGAAGCCACCGCATCCATATCCATTTGCGTAAACCACAAGGAACAGGCCTACAAAACACTACTACCATGGTACCTAACTCCCACGAGGTTATACCACATGGGTAGGACCGATTCAGGCTTGTGCTGGAAACAATGTGAACACAGGGGTACATACATACACCAATGGTGGCACTGCCCCAAACTGGCACCACTATGGGCAGAGGTGGCACGATTGGTCTCCACACTTCTCCAAATAGACATACCCCTAGACCCCTGGATATGGCTTCTTTCCAAACCCTGGGAACCCTTAACCATAGCACAAAATAAACTAACAAATAGAACGGCCCTCGCAGCCAGAAGGGCAATTGCGGAACTCTGGGGCACCCCTAACAACAGTCATCCGCAAAGCAAGGGAAGCAATAGAGGTGGACAGACTTTCAGCGCAGGTTCACAAAATGTCCCACAACTTTTATAAAATATGGGACCCGTGGCCAGGGCCGGACTGGCCCACCAGGATACCGGGAAATTTCCCGGTGGGCCGCCGCACCTGGGGCCGGTCTGACAGCCCTGATCATTGGGCTGTCAGCTCCTGTGCAGCCCTGTGATCCCGGCACGCCATGTGTGAGCTGCGCGGCCGCACAGAGCCCCATGGGAGCAGGGGGAGCCAGGCGGCACAGCTCACACATGGCCGGCCGGGATGAGGAAAAAAAATTAAAAAAATAAAAATTTGCGGCGGGGGCGGGGCTTACTGTGCGGCGGCGGCCTGGCTGATTGCAGCATGGGAAGCAGGAAGGAGTTCCTGCTTCCCCAACAACCAGCCTGCAGGAGCTCCAAGCAGGAGGTAAGGAGCAGGTCAGTGTGTCTGTGTGAGTGTGTGTGTGTGACTGTCTGTGTGACTGTCTGTGTGACTGCCTGTGAGTGTGTGACTGTCTTTGTGTGTGTGACTGTCTGTGTGTGACTGCCTGTGAGTGTATGACTGTCTGTGTGAGTGTGTGACTGCCTGTGAGTGTGTGACTGTCTGTGTGTGTGTGTGTTCCTGTGTGAGTGTGTGTGACTGTCTGTGTGTGTCTGTGTGACTGTCTGTGTGTGTGTGACTGTCTGTGTGACTGTCTGTGTGTGACTGCCTGTGTGTGACTGTGTGACTGCCTGTGAGTGTGTGTGTGACTCTGTGTGTGACTGTGACTGTCTGTGTGTGACTGCCTGTGAGTGTGTGACTGTCTGTGTGACTGTCTGTGTGTGTGTGTGACTGTCTGTGTGTGTGACTATCTGTGTGTGACTGCCTGTGAGTGTGTATTTTCAGTGAGTGTGTGTGACTGCCTGTGAGTGTATGACTGTCTGTGTGTGTGTGTGTGTGTGACTGTCTGTGTGAGTGTGTGACTGTCTGTGTGAGTGTGTGACTGTCTGTGTGTGACTGCCTGTGAGTGTGTGACTGTCTGTGTGTGTGTGTGGGACTGTCTGTGTGACTGTCTGGGTGTGACTGCCTGTGAGTGTGTGACTGTCTGTGTGAGTGTGTGACTGTCTGTAAGTGTGTGACTGTCTGTGTGTGAGTGTGTGACTGTCTGTGTGTGACTGTCTGTGTGTGACTGTGTGTGTGTGACTGTCTGCCTGTGTGTGCGTGCGTGACTGTCTGCCTGTGTGTGCGTGGCTGTCTGTCTGTGTGTGAGGGATCTGCTAGTGAGGGAGCCCCTGTGTGTGTGTGTGTGTGTGCCTGCTAGTGAGTTTGTGTGTGCCTGCTAGTGAGTGAGCTTGTATGTGTGTCAGTGAGCTTGTCTGTAGGGATCATGTGTGTGTGTGTGTTAGTGAGCTTGTCTGTAAGGAGCATGGGTGTGTCGGAGCCTGTCGGTGGTGAGCATGTGTGTACAGTGAGCTTGTCTGTAGTAAGCATGAGTGTGATCGTGAGCTTGTCTGTAGTGACCATATGTGTGTCAGTGAGCTTGTCTGTAGTGAGCATGTGTATGTCAGTGAGCTTGTCTGTAGTGAATCTCTGTGTTAGTGAGCTCTTCTGTAGGGAGCGTGTGTGTCAATGGGCTTGTCTGTAGGGAGAGTGTGTGCGCATCAGTGAGCTTGTCTGTAGTGAGCGTGTGTGTGTGTGTATCAGAGTTTGTCTGTACTAAAGTTGTGTGTGTGCCAATAACCTTGTCTGTGTGTGTCATTGTCTGTCAATGAGCCTATTTGTGTGCATCAGTAAGATTGTCTGTCTGTGTGTGAGTATGCTTTACTGTATAATTTAATTACCCTAAAAGAACTAATATTTTGAATTAGAAGAAGAAATGTATCAATAAAAAATAAATAAAATAAAATATATATATATATATATATATATATATATATACAAATATAGGGAACAAGAGGCAAGCACTCACGGTCTTTTGGTTTCTTTAAAACGATTTTCCTTTTATTTCATTGCTTAAAACTTGATCGACGTTTCAGCCACACTACATGGCTTTCATCAGGATCTTTACAGCTCAAAAAGGTTTTTGAGCTGTAAAGATCCTGATGAAAGCCATGTAGTGTGGCTGAAACGTCGATCAAGTTTTAAGCAATGAAATAAAAGGAATAAAATTGCTTAAAATTTGATCGACGTTTCAGCCACACTACATGGCTTTCATCAGGATCTTTACAGCTCAAAAAGGTTTTTGAGCTGTAAAGATCCTGATGAAAGCCATGTAGTGTGGCTGAAACGTCGATCAAGTTTTAAGCAATGAAATTAAAGGAAAATCGTTTTAAAGAAACCAAAAGACCGTGAGTACTTGCCTCTTGTTCCCTATATTTGTGTATATTATGGCATTGGCTTGACAGCACCAGGCATAAATCTACATTGAAGTGTGTGTGCAAGGAGACAATAGGACTATATATATATATATATATAGTAGTAACAAAAAGGTTCTGGACTGCACTCACGGTCTTAAAATTGAAAATATTTCTTTATTCCATATAACAGATCGACGTTTCGGTCCACGCAGGGACCTTCCTCAGGATCAAACAGCATACACACAATACATAAATACAAACAATATATAGCAAAAATAATCATAGTAAATTGACTTACCCAGGTGTGTGCAATACTTTACTCAGCGTTCTCCCTGTGCCACCGAGCATGCGCGAAGTAACCACGCCCCCACGTTAACTCACGTAGAGCGCACGATGACATCACACTGCGGCGTTTCCATGACGACGCCCTAAACAACGCCGTGGAAACCGCTGAAACTTAACTCGATAGAAGCAGGGAGAACTGGGCTGCCTAATCGCCCAATGCTCAAACACCCGAGATAATCCACAATGACAATAAAAGATTCAATTAAAATTGTACATAACATACTGCATGAGAGTACAAAAATTGAAGAAAGTAATTTTACAGAGTTTACACTTATTTCACTATCAGAAGGTGTTTTATAAATTATCTATATTTTATCAATTTTTGTACTCTTCACGGACCTCACTCCCTATTATTTCTGTTTATATTTCTATGGCAAAAGTCAGATTTATAATCTTATGTAAAGGCCTGTACTGTAGTTCCAGTAGTACTAGTGTTTATTTCTGATGCATTCCAGTATTTACGCTGAATAGGGTAGACTATCTATTTTTGTGTTCTATTACCTAAATAAGTTTGTGTACTGTCACAGATACCCTGATGTGCTTTAGTACTGAATACTAGCAAGGGTTTAAGTGTGTGACATACTTTTTGTTTGATTGGGCCATCATTATGGGTCAACGCGACTGATGATCTCAACAGGGCATTTGCAAGACAGATTTGGCTAGCTGATATGAATTGACATTACTAGTAACCATATGCATCTCATGGGTTTTTGTGGTTCTGTGTGTGTTTCGTTACTATCACAATGACGGAGAGCTGCCCACCCGATTGGAATGTGGTAATAAGACGTAGACGACCTTTTGATGTCACAATGCCACCATTATTCCAGCTGCCTCAGCTCAAAGATTAAAACAGTCATCAGAGAACTAGAACATGGAAGGAATGTCGGTTAACTCTTTAGCTGCCAATGACCTCTGTCTAATTATTTCCATGGGAATTTCTATATATCATGATATTTTAAAATTACCAGCACCCCACTGTCCCATAATGCATGGCAGTCCTCAGCAGAGATTCCATATTGGCAGGGGATATTGTGCTCTCAATTCAATATGTGAAAGTAACAGAGCCTAAGTAATGGGCCAAGTCTCATCAGCAGGGCTGGCAATTGTAAGTTACTTTAAAGTTGAAGGGTTACTCCAACCACCATGACCACCTCTGCTTTCTGAAGTGGTCATGGTGGTAGGAATCTGGATGTGCAGTGTTTCAGCTTGAAACGCTGCACATTCAGAGTTATTGGTGTGCCGGGAGGTGGTTGGACCCCGGCACATGTGACTTAGGTAGCACAGAACTCCAGACTGCCTAATGTCCATCCTTTGCATATTTTACGATTTTTGCCAGCATGCACTGCACGCTGGCGACAGACGTTCAGTGATGCAACGGAAAGCATGTGTGTGATGCAAAGGGAAGCTTGCGTCTCCCCTCCCTATTTAATTGCAGCCTTTTTTTGTTGCTCCTTTTTTCCCTCTTCCTTATTTCCTTCCCTCCCCTTGCCGACTCAGAGCACGCACATGAACTCTGAGCCAATTGAATGGTAAACTCCAATCAAAGGATTTTCTATCAGAAGCTTTGATCGGACCTCATGCGGCTCTTGTGACATCAGTAGGCAGCTTGCCAACCAGTGCCAGGAGCTTCGTCTGGCACTGCATTAAAACTTAGTTTTAAAAGTTTTTATATATATATATATATATATATATATATATATATTTGGGGGGGGGGCAAAAAAAATGCTCAAAAAGGGATTTATTCAATGAAAAATGGGTTGTAGAAACTCTTTAAACCTAACACAACATTCCATAGTAGCCAATCAAGCAAGTCCTCAAGTTTGGCCTATGGTTAGAACTCTTGTTTTTGGCCGACACTTAACACTGGGTTCTAAGATTCTTACTTCTACATTTTTGTAGATCTTATTAGCACCTTCACATTAAACTATAGTCTAAGTAGTTGTTGTTTATCTAAAAATGTACTTTAACTTTAAGCAACTCTATTTTTAGCTTACATTAAATATGTGTAGTTACCCATAATCTATATTTTTATTTTCCATTAAATCATGTATGTTCAACTTCACAAAAAAATAAATAAAAGCTATCCATAGAATATTGCAGCCCAATGGAGAAAAATAGGTGGAGGAGGGCCTTGACAGTTGAGCTGAGCAAGGCTGTATAGATTAATGGGTACAGAAAGGGAGGAAGGGCATAGGGAGCAGAGGGCATGTGTAGACTGGTGTAACAGTTACACTACAGCCATTTTTGTTTTGCAACTGTCCCCTCATGTTGTTGTCCCTCCCTCCCTAGTGTGGTGGTTTATGGGACTTGTGGTGTTGGGGTGATACTTCCACTTTCTGCTGGTTTTTCTTTCTCTTTCAGAGACGGCGGGTCACAAGGACGGCAGTGCTGAAGGAGATCATTGTCGCAGCCTTGGCGGTAGCTTGCTCCTGGGGATGGTCTATGGCCTCACAATGAGAATGTGGTGATAGTCTAATGGGGGCTTGGTGAGAGGTTTTGAGCCGGAAGAGGGGCTCTTAGCCTAAATGGGGGGCTGGGCAGACGGCTCAGTCCCGGCGGTTGGATCGGTTCCCGGGCAATGATCCCTGGGAGCAAGCTGGTGCTGGAAAGGTTAAATTGTTACTGGTTAATTATGCTAATTACAGTCTGGAAGTTATTTAGGGTTATGTTAACCCTGTGTTAAAAAACATTGTCATTGCCTAATGTTGTTATAAGGTTCAATATATATTTAATGTTAATTGGAGGCAATGACTGTTTTAATAAATAAAAATGGCTGCGGCCTTCTCTACCCACTACGTCTGTGCCTTGTGGTTTGATTTATAGTAGACACAGCCTGGTAGTCAAGGCTAGAACTGTCAAGTGTTATATAATGCAGTAGGATACTACTTTCTATATGATGACCACCAACAATTATTTTCTCACAAAATGACACTTTAACTTTTAATTTTGTTGCTACATCTACACAATTTTCTTGAATACAAGGCTTACTTTTAAAATCAGATAAATCATTTTGATAATTGCCAGCTATTTGGTTGGACGTAGAAAGGAAAAGCAGGCAGAATTTAAAGTGCTTGTTTTATTTCAGTAAAGGTAACATTCTATCCTGTCAATTTCGAGGGTTCGATAGAAGACGGTTTCTTCTATCGAACCACCATCTGTTGACTTTTGACATCGGCATACCTCATACCCAAATTATCTCACCCATGGTACGGTACATCAATCTCGTAGAAACCTCCATTGTCTTGACCTACAACAATTTCCCACCAACCTCCAAATTCATCCTTTACACATCTCAAACCACACGTCCCCTAGCTCTATAATATCCCTCTACAATTCTATCCTCTCCTCTGAACTAGATATCATGGCACTTCCTATATTTCACTATTGTAAGTGACTCCGGTTACAACTTGACACATTAAGCTGCCCCATTACCTCCAAAAATGATCCAGAACTGTGGAACACTGCTGGGGAAAGTCTAATTCTGCGTCTGACTTCTTCCACTATAATCTAACTTTACGCTCGTACACTTTGGCTCTATCCTCCACTACGTCAATACCCTCATAACCGAAATCTCCCAACAACCCAAACGCCTCTTTTACACTTTTTTTTTTTTTTTTAAATTCTTTATTTTTCTTGTGCATAAGAAAACATAACAGATGGGCCTGTAGCGCCACGACAGCTAGTACAGGCATTTCAATAGCAAACAAAGTCATAGCAAAGTAATACAGCACATTTTTATATTTATGAGAGTAAACAGGCTAGGAATACTTGAGCAGGACTATAATAGCATAATTAGTCTAGGTATGCAAGCTTGTATATTAGTAATGGGATTAGTTAAGTTTTACCGTAGTTTTGCTTATACAAAATGTCATGTGTACAGTAGTAATTACAGGCTGAATAGTTAACCATAAAGCATGCGTGGTATAGGTACAGGTGCATGAGGCCTAACGTTTCTGAGATTGCTGAGTAACTAGCTGAGAAGCCTGGCTGTCTCATTGGGTTGTGCCTATGCGACTATTCAATAGTTGCCCTCTAAATATACTTAGTTAAAGATTTACGCCTAGTATGATTAGTCGCGGTATTTAAGCAGGTCTCTTATGAGAATAGGTGCAAGATTATGTGTGAACATGCTATGTGTCATATGTTAGGCAGTGGTCTAATGTACAGGTAGACCTGGAGCACAGAGGTAGCACAAAATAATTAAAGCATAAACAAATCAGAAATAAACCATGGACAGAAACATTCGGATGCCTTTGATTGCATTCACGTGGGGAAGTACTGTGAGGCTGGCATTAGTGAGTGCGAGTCCCATCCGTGACGGTTGCCACTTGTGATCAGGACTCCAATGATGGTGCGGCTGCAAGAAGCTTGTCAGCGCTTAGCCAATGCCTGAAGTAGGAAATCGAAAGTCTTGCACTTCGGGGGCTGGGGAGGCTGCAGCATTCAGGCGGTTTAGTTGAGCATCCCTCCCGCCCCAGGCCGGTTGGTAGGCCAGCATCCTCTTGCCACGGACGTGTGGGCTCCTAGGGTCCCAGTCCTCCCCTGCATGGGGTAGACGGGAGGTCATGATGGTATTCCGCTGCCGGTTGCG